CAGGGATGCTCAGGAGCAATAGGAGAGCACAGGAGGGATGCAGGGATGCTCAGGAGCAATAGGAGAGCACAGAAGGGATGCAGGAATTGTTCCAGGAGCAATAGGAGAGCACAGAGGGGATGCAGACATTGCTCAGGAGCAATAGGAGAGCACAGAGGGGATGCAGGAATTGCTCCAGGAGCAATAGGAGAGCACAGAGGGGATGCAGACATTGCTCAGGAGCAATAGGAGAGCACAGGAGGGATGCAGGGATTGTTCCAGGAGCAATAGGAGAGCACAGAGGGGATGCAGGGATTGCTCAGGAGCAATAGGAGAGGGATGCAGGGATTGCTGAGGAGCAATAGGAGAGCACAGAGGGGACACAGGGATTGTTCCAGGAGCAATAGGAGAGGGATGCAGGGATTGCTGAGGAGCAATAGGAGAGCACAGAGGGGACACAGGGATTGCTCCAGGAACAATCCCCAAGGACTGAGCTCCCCCTGCCAGAGGCAGCAGCGTCTCGGCCTCGCTGCTGATTCCACTCCTGGACATTCCATAAATCCACCTGACACAGGCTCATCCACAGCTCCTCCTCCTCACAGCACCACTGAGATCCCTGAAATGCTGCCCACTCTCCTTTTCCCCTCAGTCTGCACCTGCTCTGCAATTGTCAGGCTGATTCTATTCACAGAGAGCCAAATCCAGGCTCAAGACTCTCAGCCCTCAAATTCACCCCAAATAGTTTCAGTTGATAAATCAAATCCCAAACATTTCAGCTCTCAAATCCATCCCAAATAGTTTCATTTAATTTGCTAAATTAAATTCCAAACATTTCAGCCCTCAAATTCATCCACAGCATTTTCAGTCCTTAAATTTGTTCCATTTTCAGCCCTCAAACTCATACCAAGATTTCAGCCTCAAATTCATCCCGAACGTTTTCAGCCTCAAATTCATCCCAGACACTTCAGTCTCCAATTTACCCCAAATATTTCAGCTTCAACTTCATCCCAAACATCTTCAGCCCTCAAATTTATCCCAAACGTTTGCACTCCTTAAACTCAATCCATTTTCAGCCCTTAAACTCATCCCAAACATTTTCAGCCTTCAAATTCCATCACTTCCAGTTCTCAAATTCCATTTCTGTAGTTTGAAGCTTAAATCTTTAACAAATTCGAAATCTGCACAAGTTTAAAAGCCCTTAAGAAGTTTCAAGGTTTGAAGTGTGTAAGGTGTGACCCCTCAGGGGCTGGTTAGGGGAAACAGAAACCCCTAAAAAGTGAATTTTGGGCATTTCCTTTACCTTGGCTGCTGCGGTCGTAGACGGAGCCGGGGATGATGGCCTCGCGTGCATCGTACATGGCAGTGGTCATGAAACGGGCACCCTGCAGGGATTTGGGCAATTAGCATCCATCCTCATTCTTTCCCCACTAGAAAACCTTGCACTGCAACCTCACTGGAAGCTATTTTGGGTCAAAATCCATAAAACTCCACAGGTCGCACAAATGTTGTGGAAATTAATTCTAACACATAGAAAACCTTTAATTATTATTTCAGCCACATCCTGAACACCCAAAGTAACATTTTCCAGCAGTCTGGCCCAAGCTGTGAGACATTTGATGAGTTTTCAGTCTATTCTGAGGCCCTGGCAATTCCCTTGCTCCACTCACTGTCCTGTGGTGGCTGCCAAGCTCCCCCAATAATAATCTGTATAAAACTTGCAGCTTGAGGGTTAAAAGTGAGTTTTCCCTTTCTACACAAACCAGTTCCTTAATTTCATTTCGTTCACCTCAAGATTTACCCCCAATAAAATCCTGCAGTTAAAGAGAAATGATGAACCTTGCTCAGCCTGGGGACAGCAGCAGCTGCTTCCCCTGCAGTCACGCTGCACCAAAAATGGAAACCTGTGGGGGTGTGAGGCTGTGTGGGTGGCTCATCCCGCCCATTCAGGACTAATTAAGGCATCAGGGCTAATTGGCTGCCGTCAGGAGCAGGGTCACTCACAGGGTTGATGGTGTTGACGAGCTTGCGGGGTTTGCTGAACTGCATCAGGCTCTCCCTCAGGTTGTTCAGGGGCCCCTCCACCAGCACCTTCTGCTCCTTGTAGTAATTCAGGAGGTGGTTCCAGAGGGGCTGCTTGGACAGGGCCTTGGGGTTCCCCACGATGATCACCCCGTACCTGTGCACACAGAGGATTCACTGGGGCATTTGTGACAAGGCTGTTGAACAGAGCAGCCCCTGGCTTCCCTCTGGGAGCTGCAGGAGGAGCCTGGTGCAGCTGGAACTGCCACAGCAGCCATTCCAGATGTGGCCAACACCTGGAAGGAGACTGAGCAGCACAGAGCTCCTCCTTCAGGCTGGCTCTGTGTCCCACCAAACCCCCAGGGCTGCATTTGGGGCTTGGCAACAGCAGGGGAGGCAAGGGCACCGTGCTGGGCTCCACCTCAGCCTCTCTGCAATCAGAGGCATCAAAAAACCCAAACGGGCACAAAATGGCTGTGGAAGGATAAAGCAGCAGATGAAAGGGATGGATCTGTGCTGGAAATGGGAAGGACATGGTGACTTCCCCAATGTACTGATGCCAGATGGTGGCA